AATCTCTTAATTGATCCTGCTTCTTCAGTTTTCTCAATACGGCAGCCAGAGGGATCCTTTTTAAACTTTGCGTGTCATGCCACTCCTGGGCTTTAAGTCATTCAAATTCCCTGTGCATGTCTCTTAGAGTAGGGGTTAGTCCTCAGAAAGGCATACAGGGTTCCAGGGTTTCTGGCCCCTTCTCATCTATCAGGTTGCTCTCTCTGCAGCAACATCTGAGCCTCCTGCCTCCTGGACTCCAGAGGCTACTCAGCTTCAAGTCTACCCCACTCATTGTTCTCTCCACTGGGAGTGCCCTTCCGGGCTCACTCACTCTCCTGCTTCAGCTCTCTCTGCTCAAAAGCTGCTTTCTCAGAGAGCTTCCTTGTGACTATTCCACTTCAATTTCAACTTCTCCTCCAACTGCCAGCTTTCTCACTCTCCCTTTCTCTGCCTGACTTTCTCTTTTCCATAGCAGTCATCTCCTTTGAACAAACTATGCACATTTACTTGTTTATGATATCTATTGTTTACTCTCTGGCAGGGATCTTTGTCCATTTACTCACTGCTGGAAAACTGGCTCAGAGGAAACCAACAAACCTTTGTTCAATAAAGAATGGAGAGAGTTTGAGAGCTGAAAGGGGCCCTGGATACTGTTCCTGGGTGTGCAACTGAGGGTTGGTGAGGTGAGGCTATTCACTGAGGACTCACGATGGGCTCAAGGGTAGGGCATGGATTAGGAGCTGGCATCATCCTGAGCATCTTCACTGGGTAAGCGCCATGACAGTGGCCTCCCCTTCCCCTTCATCTGTCACAGTCAGAGGGACACCGATGAATCACAAAGAGCCAACGTGGAAAACAACCAACTAAAATATCGGGGGTATTCACCACTTTCTTCTTGGTAAACCTTCGTATGATTCAACCATCAATCCTACCTCTCTGATGACTTATAAGAAGCAAGGGACAAAGTGGTGATTCAGATTAATGAGCCCTTCTTACTCTCAGCCTCCTTTCCCCAGTGCAAATACCAAGATTCTCTGATAACTGGAAACAGACAGGACTGCTAGATTATGTTTTTTTCCTAAACGTACCAGCCTTGTTTTAAAAAAATAAAATTATGATTTCATTACATAATTTATAAATTAGTATTTGAGAAAAAAAGTTGATTAGCAGAAAAAGAATGGCTCTCCATTGCGTCATTAAAATATTTCTGACAATCCAGAATAAATTAGAAGAAATTCTAGTTCATTTCAGAGCCCAGATCACATTTTGTGTTAGGGATTTGTCTGCCCTCTTATATCTGTAAGGAAGTGCCATCTGAATAGACATATTTTTAAATGCCTAGGGATAATAATTTTTCTACTGCCAATTCTGGCTCAAAGAAAAATATAGCGAGGGAGCTTCAACCTCACAAACAGACCTGTTCATAATGGCACAGCTAACAGGTCCAGGGCTACACAGCATGATGTTAGCAGAAAGCCTAGAAAACTCCATCCACGGCTCACCAGATGATTTAACTTGCCAGAGTATATAATTAAGAACAAAGTTATCTTTATAGTCATTCCTTCATTATTGAGATAACTCAATTGGAGGCTGTTTTAGAGATGCTGGATTCAGAAATAAAGTCCTTATAGACTGCACTGCAATATCATGAAGATTACACCAGAAAACAAATGGATGCGCAAAGACAACCTTCTGTACGTACCAGAAAATTAGATCTCAGGAGAGACAGGAAGAAAAAACATAAAATCAAAGAGGGTGGGGGCCGAGCACAGTGAAAGGTATAATCAGCGGCTTCCCAGAGAGAGGAGCCTGCAAGGCCAGCAAGCTCGCCGGTTGTTACCTGGGGCAGCGCTCTTCAGTGCTTTCACTAACTGTCCCCTTCCAGCTCCAAAACCATTATCTCCATAGTCCGGGACACTGTCACTATTACTGCCACCGCTGGCAGAGTATGTACACATTCTGGGTACCTTGTCCTAAATGAGTAATATGAGACTGTTAAGATTATTCATACAAATCAAAACGGGGCAGAACATCCTGTGAGGATGTGACACAGTTCACATTTGGCTGTCATTACACAATGAATTCCGTTCCCACTGCCCAGCCCACAAGAGCATCCTGTGAGGATGTGACACAGTTCACATTTGGCTGTCACTGTGTGCACCGAATTCCGTTCCCACTGCCCAGCCCACCGCCCACTCCAGAGCAACTCTGGATTGCTGGTTTCTTCTGCCTCTGAGGAGCTGATGCTGTCTACTCAATTACCAGAGCTGCAGAAATAGGCCTGCAATAATGAAGCCGTTGATGGTGCTCTGCCTTTGTCTCAGGCTCAGGAAAGTCCCCACGGTTACCTGTTCTGCATTTTGTATACTTCTTTATAGGGTCTTATTTTTTTCAAGTGCCTATTATGAGCTGCTGTTCCAAAGCTAATGGCATATTTATTTAACTGATCTCATCACTGGCTTCCAAGTATCAGAAGGTAATAAACAATTCACCTTGGGAACAAAAGAATAAATGTTTGCCTAATTTATAATTTTCTTTCAGTTCCCAAAAGGACAGTAGCCTTTAGGAAAGTCAGCAATTGCTGACCCTACGTAGTCCTCAAATCTGCTGACAGTTCATGAGCTGAGGGACCCAGTTTCCCCTCTTGCTCACATGCACATATCACCTGACCCTGTCCCCTAAGGATGTCACTGGTGTGACAATGATGCTGTATTCAGGAATTGCTGAGGCAGTTGATGCTGTATGAACAACATTCCGCTGTGTGCACATAAGCAGAATACTGGATCCAGGAGTGCAACTCCTATGTGTTGAATCCAGGTTATCTGGGAGACTTTTCTGTTTGTAGACTGTCCTGTTAGAGCCTATTATTCACCATCTGTGCCAGACAGTTCCAGTACAGATGCATTAGATGGGTCTCTGAAGTTTGTTTGGAAGGGTGTCATTGGTTGGGTTATAAAAACACATTTTAGGATGTAAACTCACTTATCTGCGGTTATAAATTCAAGCACTAATTTCCTTTACTCCTTCATTCATTTATTTAGCCACCCTCCCATTCAACAGTGTTTACTAAGTACCTACTCTGTGCCAAGCAGTATGCTAGGTTCTAGGGATGGAGAGCTTAATGCTGGAGAGACCAGTAGTCTAGCAAGGACTAAGTCCATGAAGGAAGACAAACCCAGTGACTGTAGTGCTGGGGAACCTGTGTCCAGAGCTCCAAAAGGACCCAGTAACATTGTCTGGGCATGATGAGGTACATCCTTTCATAGCTCCATTCAATAAAATCTAACTGAATCAGGCATCCTGTCGGGTACTAGAAATATAGAGCTAATTCTTGCTTGAAACTTTACCTGCCTGGCAGTTGGCGAAGCAGGGTTCTGAGTTTCAGGGACCTCCAGTGCATGGGGCCAGTGCAGGACGATGGGGAAGGGAATCGTAGAGAGGTGTGTCTACTGGTGGATGTGTATGTTACGTGAGGAGTGCAGGGCCCTGCTGGGTCAGGAAGAGTAGCTGTTTTTTCCTTTTTCCTTTCTTGGAATTATTCAAACTCCTTTGCCATTGTCACCAACTGCTGTTCCTGAACTGCTTTTCTCCTCTCCAACTCTGGGTGACTGTTATGGTTTTCTCAATTTGACAGCTCTCGGTTTTCTCAATTGTTCTGTGCAAAGTGTGTTCCATAGACCAGTGGCATCAGCATCACCTGGGGATTTGTTAGAAATGTGTACGCCTCACTCCGTATATGCCAAATCAGACATAAGTGGACGTGGGTGACAAGAGTATAGCCGTTCAGGTGGTTCTGATGCCTGCTCAGGTTTGGGAAGCACTGATTTAGAGGAGCCCTGATTTCCTGTGTTTGACTTAAGGCATGGCAGAATACAGCAGTTTCCTCCTTTGCCTCTTGGACCCACGTCCTGTGAAGGCAGCCATCCTGGGTGCTGCTCTGGACTTTAGAGGGCTCAGTTCCAGTCTCAGCTCCACAGTAACTTTCCCCTGGATCCTGAACACAGTCCAGCAGGACTCTGGTGTTCCCCACTGGAAATCAAGGCTGTGGGCCCAGAGGATCTCCTCCCCTACTGACCCATCGTCCCCTTCCACACCGAGGCAGATGCTCAAGGCTGAAACATGGCTTGGGCACACTGAGTGAGGGGGACCTCAGATGTGAGTGAATCTGGGTATCTCATCATCATAGTTGGGCAGAAACTCTAGTAAGAATAGCAACCGGGGCTCTTGATACCAGGCCTGGGAGAGCTGAGGGCAGCAGAAGTGGGAAGGGCCAAGGAAGGGCCAGGAAGTTCTGGAAAATGATCCACGTATCTTCCTCCACCTTTCTCACCACCAGGGACCGCAGCAGATGCTGCAGTGGGCCAGCCCCAGGACAAGTGGAGAAATGGTGAATAGTCAGGCCATGGGCAGAGTAACCTGCTGGAAGGGGCAAACAGGAGGGGATACCACATAACCCCCACTAGGGATGAGCAAGGGGTCCCTGAGCCAGTCACCCATCAGGAGTCCTATGTGTGTCATCTCAGGGCAGATGCAGAACCCACAGCAAAAATGAAATTCAGGGCTCACTGATAGCAAGTCCTTTGACCACGCAGAGCCTCTGATTAGCCATCCCTAAAAACAACAGAATTAGACCTGCTTTCCCTGTTTCATAAGAACAAGGTAAAGGTTAAAATAATTACTGAGATAATGAAAAAATAGAAAAAAACATCATTCCAATGGTCCCTTCATGGCTTAGGAGAGTGAATGCCCTCCCACAATATCTAATCAGGGGAGTGCATCCATACCCAAGAATCTGGGTGCATTTCAGAAGCACTTTGATTCTTCATAATAAAAGTGTCCCAAGAACCCCCAGTATTTCTTAATAAGGCAGGGAAAAGGATGAACCCTAGGCCTTATTCAATAAACCAAGAGAAAACTTCATTTAAAGTAAAATCTATCACAAAAGTGTTTTAAAAGTACAATTTTTACAATCAGGACCAACAGGTGGATGGCACCCTTCACTTCCCCCAACCCCTCACCTGGGTCCCGGAGGCAGTATCTTCACTCCCCCAGACTGGAAGGAGTTGGCTTGCCATTGGGTCTTCAGCATATCCAAATGGTGAGCATGTCTGAGGCCTTGGCTCTGCTTCATTCTGCTTTTGGGTACTGCCTTTTCCTAAATGAGGACATGTATGCGGAATCACATATCAACTTTCATCAACCTTTTACAAGTTTAGGAAAGGAGGTAGGGGAGACATTCAGAAATAATAACAATAGGTCCAAATACAGTGAAAGCTGAGCTTCCCGCCATCCACCCCCCTCTAGTCTGTGCTGCCAAAAACATCTGCATAATTATGTATATATGTCTATAGAAGCCCCTTTTCAAGACCCTAAGGCAAACTGTTCTTAGATCACTTGTCTACAAAATGTTGAAAGGCTTTGCAGGTTAGAAAAGGTTCAGCAGGCAAACCATCCCAGTTACTAGGGAGGCTGAGGCAAGAGGATCACTTGAACCCAGGAATTGGAGGTTGCCATGAGCCAAGATCGCACCATTATACTCCAGCCTGGGCGACAGGATGAGACTCCACCTCAAAACAAAACCAAAAAGCATAGAGCCCTTAGAAACCTGGTGCAGTGGATATTAGCAGCAAGATCAGAACAATCTCCTTCTGATTGCTTCTTATGAAACAATTCAAGGCTTGTGGTTTCTGTTCAATTTGTTATAATGACAGCGTTTCATCATGGAGTCTACTGCAGCCACCACTGAATTGAGGTCACACATGTGACTATTCAGGCATGGAGTACCTAATCTATAACTAAGATTTCACCCCTGAATCTCTGGAGGCCGTGTCATTAATTAAGAATGCATTTATTTCAAAAATAATATGTATTACAGCCTTTAAAAATGTAGCCTTGACTTGGAATGAGCAGAAGTCTGTGAAGGAAAATGGGTATTACTGGCAGTGGGTATTACTGTATAAAGGAAGAACTCAGCCACGGGAATAGCCCAATCACATTTATTCAAAGATGTATAATTAAAAGTCTCAGTTTCTAATTTCTCAGAAGCCTATACTATAAACTCCACTTGCAGCTCCTTTCTAATCATCAACTCATAAATGAAAGTGTTAAAGTTTTAGTTCCTATGCTTATGCATGTTATAAAAGCAACATAAGACATACAAGTTAAAAATTATTTAGTGTCATCATGGGCTGCAATAATTTTTTTTTTGTACTTTAGGTTCTGGGGTACATGTGCAGATCATGCAGGATTGTTGCATAGGTACATACATGGCAATGTGGTTTGCTGCCTCCATCCCCCTGTCACCTATATCTGGCATTTCTCCCCATGTTATCCCTCCCCAACCTCTCCACCCCCCACTGTCCCTCCCCTACCCCTGCCAACCGACCCCAGTGTGTGATGCTCCCCTCCCTGTGTCCATGTGTTCTCATTGTTCAACACCCGCCTATGAGGGAGAACACGCGGTGTTTGATTTCCTGTTCCTGTTTCAGTTTGCTGAGAATGATGCTTCTAGATTCATCCATGTCCCTACAAAGGACATAAACTCATCGTTTTTTATGGCTGCATAGTACATATGCAATAAATATTTTTAATCGTGGGGGAACAATGAAAAAACAGTGATCCTTAGCCTAGCCCTGTCTTTAATCATGAAAGCTTGTTTCAATTGAGTGACAAAGGATAGTACCTCTCAAGGGGAAGGCTCACTCTATTCCATTGCAATTAGTCCACAATCTACTGCTGATTTATCAAACTATGTCTTTTATAGTTCAAAATATAAATATATTTTAACAGCATAGGAATACATCAGAACATGTAAGTTTCTGGTTAGAAGGCAAACAATATTGTAGTTAAATTTATATCTTGGGCCTAAATTGGTCTAAGGTTTTTTTTTTTTTAGATGGAGTCTAGCTCTGTCACCCAGGCTGGAGTGCAGTGGCACGATCTCGGCTCACTGCAACCTCCTCCTCCCTGGATCAAGAGATTCTCTTGCCTCAGCCTCCCAAGTAGCTGGAATTACAGGCATGCGCTGCATACCCAGCTAATTTTTGTATTTTAGTAGACATGGGGTTTCACCATCTTGGCCAGGATGATCTCAATCTCCTGACCTTGTGATCTGCCCTCCTCGGCCTCCCAAAGTGCTGGGATTACAGGAGTGAGCCACCACGCCCAGCCCAGAGTTAAGTTTTATAAAATGAAACCTCACAAGTATATGTTGCACGGGTTTTTTTCTTAATCAGTTCATATATCCATATACCAGTACTTACATGTCTGTTTCCTTATATGTGTGTATACTGCTTAACATAATACTATGAGTAAATATTGTCTTATATACATTGTTGTGCTTTTTGGTAAAGGACATCCGGGAATTTTCACATATCTACGTTTTTATCAGGGAGACCACTGACTTACTCCTCTCCTGTTGAAAATTTTTCCCTTTTTTTGTCAGCAAGTGTCTTATTAAGGGTGGGAAACTGGCATTTTACCTGAGGAAGCTGGTTTGGGAAGGCAGCTTTGAAGAGGTCGCATCCCTCTGGCAGTCATGATGGGGTCAGATGCCGAATGAACAATGGCACTATCTGCAGGGCGCTGGCTGTCTGTGGAGGAAGGCACTTCACGTTCAAGTGTTTGGGCTCTCATGGAAGAAGCTGCAGAAAAGGCTGACTGGAGAGGCAGGAGAGGCTCAGTGTCCTCTGGGGAGTCTGGCTGGCATAGGTACCTTCCTGTCGAGCGATTTCCCGAGTCTGGGAGTGGGAAGGTTCCAATCCCACTGTCCAATGTTCTCATCTGGCAGTTGGATTCTGAGATAGAATGACAGAGAGAGAAAGGGTTAGAGAAGGCTCGTATAAAAGGATAAAAGAATCATGGAAATTGGGGTACGATCTGGGCGAAAGGTGACACCTTAAAGGGCGAATTTAAGAAAAAGAAAAACGATAAGCATTTGGAAACAGTATTAGCGGTGTAGTAAATTTCCAGTGAGGCGCATGAAATGGACTTTTTGAACATGAAAACATCCCCTCATATATTAAGAGATAAGAAGACCAGCCTGTTATGAGTAGCAGTTGTTACTTGTGCATATATCCTGGATAGGTCTTTAGAGTTAGAATAGAAGAGGAACAGTCATTAGAGACCAAATTGTGGTCACCCTTGTTACAATCTGGGAATGATATGACTTCAACCAATTAGTTGAAATTTATTAACTGAAATAATGAATAATGAGCACACATAAATTGAAGTGATGTCCTAACAACGGTAATTGTGTCTCTCTTGCATGAATGATCACCCATTCAACAGTTGACTAAATCTCTGGCCTCTTAATTTGACTGTGGGGACAGTCAAATTCATATGCCAGAAGGGTCATCCCAAAGAGTACCTTTCCCATCATAACATCACTTATCATGTGGGCTTCATTCGACCCAGTTGGTCCTTGAAGTCTTGTGAGAAGGCTGTGAGCCACTTTCTTTCACTCTCACTTTATTCAGTGACAAAACTCATCAGTAACCCTTTGGGTTTTTTTGAAGTCCCAGGGATTCCACTATTCTCTAGAACAAATTGAGGTAATCTCACCATGTATGTGGCATATTCTGTTAATTGTGTGTCATCTTCAAAAAGTTTTATATACAGAGAAAAGTATGGTATTTGAAAAAATTACTATGTATTTAATTTCTGGAATGGTGGTATGGTTTATCCAAATCAATGAGGCAACTTCCAAGATCTGGATGTCATCCAGAAAGTGTCCTGTTCATACGATAATCTTGGAATTAGACTTCCTAAGTTTCATCTTAGAAGCATCTTATAAGTCTAGTACTGGGTAAGACAAACAATTTAGCCCTGTATTAGGCATGGTGGGGAGTATAACAGATTATGACATAACATTTGTATTAAAAGCTCAATAGCTCACTCCTGTAATCCCAGCACTATGGGAGGCCGAGGCAGGCAGATTATGAGGTCAAGAGATCAAGACCATCCTGGCCAACATGGTGAAACCCCATCTCTACTAAAAAATACAAAAATTAGCTGGGCATGGTGGCACACACCTGTAGTCCCAGCTACTTGGGAGCCTGAGTCAGGAGCATTGCTTGAACCCGGGAGGCGGAGGTTGCAGTGAGCTGAGATCGCGCCACTGCACTTCAGCCTGGCACCTGGTGACAGAATGAGACTCTGTCTCAAAAATAAATAAATAAATAAATAAATAAAAAGCTCAATAGCTACAACTTCTTTGGTGCTTTAGGAACAGAGGCTTGTGGAGCTTGTGGAGTGATCTCCACCAATGACTAATTGTCAGAACCCCTGTGCAAGAGCCTTAGCCTCTCGAGGTCTCAGGTTCCTTTTAAGATTGCTGTGAGGATTAAAATATGTTCACCATTGAATCCTTAGAATTTTACAATGACACTTAAGCACACTGTGAGACAGCCAAGTAAATGAGTAATGAATGGCAACATATACAAAATGCTTAGGATAATTATTACACATTAGTAGACGTCTGATAGCTGAATAGCTTATCCTTAAGGATCTTTTATATACAATCTCACTTCATGCTCAGCAATTACTATCCAAGCTTCGGAATTTGCCTATTCCCCTACCGTCCTCCTCAAAACCCCCTTCGCTGGGAATTTCCTGATATTAAGGCAAAAATAAAGGGATGGGGATGTGTATAGAGTTGGCTTTCCTAGGCTCAAGGGAGTTTGGTGTTTGGTTTTGGAAGTACTAGAAAGATGAAGTCCCTACTTAAGAGGCTTCAGTCTTCACAGGGGAATTTAGTAGGAAGACACAGATACCCTTTTTTCTCCACTATGGTATCATTTAGCCATCTTATATGCCCTGGGATCTCAGAGTTGGGTCATGGACTCCAGGATTCCTGAATCATACAGACACACTATGAGAGGTGCTTTTCCTTCCCGGGATTAAAAGGGCTAAGTTTTAGCCCCATTCACTTCAGGGCCTCCACCTGGTCAGCTTTATTCTCAACCAGCCTTACAGATTATTCATGATCTTCTCTTTTCATTTTCTCCTCAATTAAGGTGATTTCATTTTGATAGAATGGTGTTTTTGAGAAAGGATCAGCTGTTTGCATGGGGAAGCACTGCCAGACAAGTAAAAAAAAAAAAAAAGACCCTGCTATTCAGACTTCTGTGTCTTTTCTTAATTTTGGCCTACACATAAAACACTCTTCAGATTTAGCATGTCCATGTGTTATAACTGGGGCAATTCTGAAAGTCTGAAATGTTTCAGACTTACAAGAGTAAGTAGATCTTCATCAGAACCGACTCAGTTTTTGAAAATGAGAATCAAGGATTCATGGGATGTAGCGGCTAAGATGTGTCAGACCCTATGTGCCCCAGGCTGCCTGCCCTAATAATTTACCCCAGCATCCTCAGGACCGCCTATTCCTGAATCAAGGAGGGCTCAGCAAGGCAGGACATTCGGGGCACTTTTCCTTTCAAGAAGACATGTCCTCAAAAATTTGGTGCTTATTATAGCTATCGGGTTCTGTTTTCTTTGTGTCATCTCTTCATCTTCACATATCTATAAGGCAAGAACTATTATTGCCATTTAGAAATGAGGAATCACAGCTAAATGAGGTTAAGCAACTTGTCCAAGGCCAGATGCTATAAATGAAAGCCTGGACTTGAATCTAGGCTTGTTTAACTACAAAGACAATGTTCTTAGCCACCAAGCTATGCTGATTCCCCCCAGAAGCACAAGTAAACCCCACAGTGGGCTCTGCTCAGTTCATAGCCATTGAGACAGCCACGTGAGCAGAAGGCTCACAGCATGGCCCCATGGCTTCTAGGCAAGGTGCCCAGCTTCTCTTCTGAAATTGGTGCTGGCCCCAGAATTCTAGCTTGGTTCCTGGGCTCCCCATTCTGAGGCTGGAGTCCACTGCCAAACATGCCTGGCATCTAACTGGTTGTCTGTCCCTATGCAGGATGCCTATATAGTTCTGAGAATCCCAATTGCCTAGTAACTCTTCCTTCTGCCCTCTTGAGTTGAATCCCTAGACTTCTTGCCAGGGTTTTCTTAGAGTTTACTTTGCCTCCTGATATGGTTTGGACCTGCGTCCCTGCTACATTTCATGTTGAGATGTAATCCCCTTTGTTAGAGCTGGGGCCTGCTGGGAGGTGTTTGTATAAGGGGGTATATCCCTCATGTATGATTTAGTGCCATCCCCTTAGTGGTGAGTGAGTTCACGTAAAATCTGGTTGTTTAAAAGTATGTGGCACCTTCCACCTTCTCTCTTGCTCCTGCTCTTGCCATTTAAGACACCTGCTACTCCTTCACCTTCCACCATAATTGGAAGCTTCCTGAGGCCCTCACCAGCAGCTGATGCCAGCACCATGCTTCCTACACAGACTGCAGAAACATGAAGCAGTTAAAACTCTTTTCTTATAAATTACATAGCCTCAGGTATTTATTTATAGCAATGTAAGAATGCCCTAATACACCTCCAGCTTGGAAGACAGGCACTCTTCCAAGGGCAATGTTTTTCTGGCTTTGTCTCTCTCTTCTACGTATTTTAAGGCACACTTAATCCAGTCCTCACAAATGAAGACTGAAAAAGCAAAGTGAGAATCTTGGCTGCCTTTTCAGTTTGGCAATAGGTGCCATATACGAAGCCCATGTATGTTTGTCTAACCTATAACACAAAGTCATGGGGCAGTTGCAGGAAATAAGGCAGAGGAGGAATTTGGGGGTAGAAAAAATGTTGAAGGTGGTCAAAGTCTGGTGCCTTTCTGAGGACAACATTTTCTAGCATCAGTCCCCTTAAATTTCTTTGCTTTTCTTTCAACACCCAATATTATTATACCAGAGTCTATAACACAGGACTTTTAGAATTCTTGAGTTCTCTGATTCTCTGAGAATTGCATGCCCTAACATTAAGCTCAGAAACCATTTACTATTAAGGCCATTTTTTTAATTTCTAAAAATTACAGATGCCAAATGTACTGAATGTGAAGGAGTCATTCACTATGAAGTGAGGTGTGGACAGTCAGGGGCTCAGACACTTGCCAAGTTTCCCCCGCAAGAAAATTTCTTTGGAATGCATAACCTTTGGAAATGGAAGCTTATATTGAAAATGCTGACACCATCTTTATGTAGTTTATTTAAGACACTAGTCGTTTTTTGCCATTCATAAAAGTATTGTAACCTGAATTACAAGTGTTCGATACTGTACTTCTGAAGCCAGGTTTTTTCTCAGAGAATTTTAAGAACTCACAAAATAATTACATGGTTGTAGGAGGAACTAAGTTCAAAGGGGCGAGCCTGCCTCCCATCTTCAATGAGGTGATGCAGTATTGCTCTCAACAAATGTGAATTCACATTTCTGGCTGTGAGTATACTTGCCCACAGGGCCTTGCTAATGAGTTCAAGGGTAGGGTTGTTGGATGTACAAACAGCCTTCATTCCTGCAAGGTCACCAATTACATCTCTGATTCTGGTCAGCCCTCTCACTTGTTCCCATTGTTCCATTTCCCTTCTCTCTGTCTCTCAAGGTATTAATAAATTCTCATACTTCACCACCACCATCAAGTCCCAGGCAGCTCATGGAATGACTTAAAGCACTACTTCCCTTTTAAGTTGTCTCATACAAAGAAAATACACAGTTGGTAGAGGAAAACACCAGTCCCCAAGACAACTGGTCAACTGAGGGCTGAACAAGCCCCTTCTCAGTACACCTGGCACACATTCAGAGCAGTGATCAGCAGAATGGGAGGGAGTCTTATAGAGAATGGAGTCCCCATTCTTTTTTACTGACACCTTGAACATTGCCTTGCATATGTTTGGTATGCAAGGAGGA